TTCCAGTTCCTATCTGTACCAGTGTACATCCTCTGGTCTAGCCCGATTTTTAAGGTAGAATTGGGATCTTGATAGTAGGGGGGAGGAAGCATTTAAGAACTAGAGGAAAGTTGTGTATTTCATCGTTGCTACACTACAATCTGACTGGCTCATCTCCTCCCCGCGACCCTTCTGTAAGGGGTTGTCCAGTTGTCTGCAGATGGGTTTCGGTCTGCACTCCACACTGTCCATCATTCTCAATGATATGATTTTTTTTCTTTGATGCCTGATACCTGATCCCTTTGACACTTCATGATCACAGAGGCTGGTGTGCTTCTTCATGTGGGGTTTTTTATCTCTCAGCTAGATGGCCGCTTGTTTACCTTCAAGTCTTTAAGACCCCAGATGTGATATCTTTTAATAGAATTCTTTTCCAACTCTTAAGATATACATAGATCTTCTGGGAAACTGGTTAAAATATATACTCTGGTTCAGTGGGTTTGGGATGGGGCCTAGGGTTCTGCATTTCTAAGAACATTCTAGGAGATAACTAAGTGCTAGGTGGCTTTCATTAGTTGTTTTTGAACCATAAGAATTCTATGAAATATATATTCTACATATTTTACAGATAAGTACATGCACTCAGGAGTTTTTCAGGGTACATAAGTTCATGGAACAAGTATGCAACACAGAATCTTATACTCTAGAATTTGTACCTAACTCATTCTAATACCAATGTTGGGCTCTTTCCACTATATTACATTTGTACATAGGGTCGCTGTGAGTCAGAGTCAATGTGGTGGCATTAACAACAATAACAATGCTAGATTTCTAGAATAGGAAGAGCACAGTTGGTACCTCAATGGCATATGGATCAGATCATTTCTGATGATCAGTGGGAGTGGCTTAAGGTACATTTGGATCTAATCTTTGGAGTTGATTTGGAGAGCTGATCAGAAAGGATATTGCTTTCCATTAACTGAGTGTAAAGTTGTGAGATTGGAATAGCATGTAACAGTGAGGTGATATTGGTTGATAGAAGTCAACATTGGAGAACGGTTAGAAGGTGGCTTACCTTCATGGTAAATTTCAGAATTAGACTCTGTATAACTGCTGAGGTCTATATTTGAGATTACACCTCGTATTAAATTTTCCTTCATTCTAAATGTCGAATTGACCTAGTTGTGCTGTTGCTATTGATTAACCATTGAAGAAAGTATGTTTCAGTAAACTAAAGAGCAGGGCAGTAGTCCTGAGATACTTTTAAGTAAAAAAAAACCCCAAAAAACAAAAAAGGAAAGCATACACTTCAATCCCTAGGTAATAACAGAAATAACATAAAGTTTATGCTATTTAAGGCGCTCTTGGGACAGGTGTCTACAAGCTATTTCTCTAAAAAGGACAGTGAAAGGTCTTGCTACTTTACTGCTGATAGTGAATGGTGTAGCATCAATGCCATCCGTGAGGGGGCAGAGTAAAAGCTAAGGGATGTTTGTGAGTAAAGATACAGGTGACAGAATTCCTTTTCCGAGCTTTTCAGCAAAATATTATGAAGGGTTCATCACCTCAGTTAAAACACGTGAGATATGTTCTTGTCCTTAGCACCCTTTATTGAAATATTACCCTTGATGACAATCTGGCAAGTATATCAATGACAGCTGAGAAGGGAGTGGTGGAGGACATAAATTCAGAAAAATCATAGCTTCATATGGAATAGATGACCCCCCAACCATTGTACGACAAACAATGTTTTCTTAAATCAATTTATTGGGAGCTTATACAATTATTATAACAATCCACACATGTTTTTTTTTATCTATAGGAACAGACCCTCGCCCCACCCCCCTCTAAACATCTACTCATCTTCAAACAATATAATATACTGTTACAGAATTATTATTGGCATAGATAACTCCTCTGGCAAAGACAGTGGGAATCAGCATGTCCCAGAGGAGTGAAAAATGGCCAAAAATATGCCCATCTTCTTCTATCTGAGGCCTGCTACTAACAAAGTAGCAGTTGCAGGGAGGCTGGAGTTAAGGGTATGACTCTGGTGGCCCAAGCCGCTTTTTGGCACATGAGGTTCAATGAAAAATAGAACTTGGACCTGGTGTTGAAAGAGGCTTTTCATCTTTTTATCTTCTCTGCTTTTCTCTGCTTCCACTCTCTCCCTTTCTAGGACCTTATTTTTCTTTTTCCCTCTCAGATTCCCCTTGGGCATTGCAATGCTGAGCTGCAGCAGGTACAACCCAAGGAGACTAAATTATCCAGTGTACTGGGGAAGGAGGAAATGGGGACCAGGGTAGGTGATAGGAACTCAGGCATCGACTCCTGCCCATCTCAACAAGCTTGCTCACTACCCACTGGGGCCTTTATGAGTGTTTGAAGGGAAAGGGGAAAAGTCAATACCAATAATTGACTTTGGAGACATTTCTTGGCCTGCTATACAAACTGCTACCTCCTGGTCAGCTTGAGAGAAGAGCTGAGCCCAGAAAATGAAAATAAGGGAAAGACACTGCATCTCAAGTGATATTGGCAGGATTGCAGAATATCCCTCACAATGAGACTGCCAGGTCAGAAATGATGGGAATCAGTGTCTATTTATTATTTCATTTTGTCTGCCAAGCTTCACTGCTCAGTATAAATTTTTGGTTTTTATAAAAGTGATTTGAAAACTGTTCCTCCATGTGAAATATCAACATTCTTGTGTTGGATACTCATTCTAAATATGTAAACTACTTTGGAGTGTGAACAGGGACAAAATCAATGGAGTCAATCATACTTTTATATACTTCTAGTGTCATAAATATAAGTTATAACCAACCTACCTTTCACAGATTAAGGAAATAACAAATATAGAAAAGCATATCTTTGCCCTGGGGTCCAGGTAAATGCACACTCTTTTCCTTAGGCCCATATTCATAAAAATAAAATAATTCAAGCCAAACTCTTAGAATTATGGATTGTATCAGTCTCCTATCCCCACACATGACACATAAATTTGCTTATCCTTTATCCTTGAGCCTATTTTAAAAACCAAAATGACAATCACAGTCTCCATTTAAAGCACCCCCTCCTACATTCCTCAACCTTTGCTTGGATACACCTAGCCTCTTATGAGTCATCAATCAGCCTCACTGGAGGGAAGCAGGGCAGTTGATATTCAAACAGCAGAACATCAGTTCTACCAGCAGCAGTGATTCTAAAAGCATACTCCGGATTCCACAGAAATGGTAAATCTCAGAACACCCACCTGGCCATGTTTCCCCCATTGTGTTCAAATACAATGAAGAGGAAGCAGAAGTCAGTGACTACTAGTGGTAGCAAAGTTCCTTGACAATTGTTTCTTCTGTTGAATGAGGCACTTCTGATGCTACAGTCAACCTCAAAAGATCCTGGAGAACTCAGCAGTCATTAGAAGAGATGCCAGGGTTTCACAGGGCTGGGCTGACCAGTACTAAAAGTTGATCCCAGTTAGCAAGGAACAGGGAGTTGATCTGAATAATAGGACAGAGTTTGGCCATCTGTCCACAACTTCCATCCACAATTTCCTTCCTGCCATTAGTGCCAAGAGACCCTGGAAACAGCAGCAGCATTGGTTGTTTGCATGCTTAAGTTCCTGGCTGTGATTATTCCTGGGGTGGCTGAGAGGATGGCCTTAGCTGCCCCTGGTTTGGTTACCTGAGCCAGGCTTCCAGGTTCAGGAAAGTAATTGTGGAGTAGAGGAATTCCTCCTGAACTCACTTTTACTCATTTCTCAGCCTGGATATGGTAGCAAAATGGGTGAACTTTTTAAGTTTCAGGAGATTTCTTTAGTAACTAAAGTTTAGTTCCAAGAAAAGAAAAAATAAGAAAAATTTGATCTCTGGTAGGGAATGCTAAACTCATGGTACCTAGGGAAGCACCATGCCAGGCATACTGTGCAGTTATGTTGGGAAGAAAAGGGAATTTGTACTTGCTTGTCAAAATTATGGTGGATTCAGATTGATCTGTAGAAAATGTTTTCCTTCTGGGATAACTTTTTCCTGTCAAACCCTCCTCTCACCTTATTAGTTAATAAAAAGGGTAAACATAAAATAAATAAAAATTTTAAAGCCATTTAAAATACAATAATAAAAAGCCACCCACTCCAAATAATGAAACACATTCCGAAGTCAGCTTTGGTAGAGTTGTTAAAGGTCTACAGTGTGGATCCTTGGAGTAGGCATCTGTAACCTCCAACAATGAAAGGGCAAAGTGGGAACAGGGGTGGCGTCCTCAAAGCTTTAACCCAGAAGGAAGGCCACACCAGCAAAAGCTGTAGGAAAGATTCATCCCCTTAAACTGGATGCCGGAGGATGTGAGGGCAGAACCAACTGGCTTCTGTCTGGCTCCTTCCAATAGGGCATCTGGGAATTCTTTGTCTTTTCTAAATGCAATACTTAGTTCTGTTTCCCACTGCCAAATCTTGGGTGAGACCCTGAAACTCTTGGTTGCTAAGTGACCTCTTGGCAGCTTGTGGGAAATGGAGCCCTGGGGGCAGAGTGGAGTTGCAGCAGCAGCTCCTCTCTAAGCCTTGAAGGCTGACTACAGAGTAGGTGACTAGGTGGTGAGAAGATAACATCTTTGGTGTCCTCACACACACAAATAACTTTGTTGGTTGTGTGTGCAGTTGAGTGCTTGCCTATGCAAAATTGTGGGAAGGAGAGGGTGGTGTGTGGTTACAACTTGTTGTAGCTTCCCTTGCGGACCAGCTTGAGACCTCCCCAGAGTCTCCTAGATAGTTAGGGAAACTTCTAGGTAAGAGCCATTAGAGAAGTCCAGGGTAGAAAGTATGGAACAAACTGCTAACTCTTATTTTAACTACTAACAACTTGCTAATTAGAAATTGCTGGGCCCAGGAGTAGGCTCTCTTTGAGACATTTGAGCTGCTCTTCCCCGAGTTTGATCTTCTCCTCCAGCTCTCGCTGCTCAATGATGAGGGCAGACTTCATCTTCACAAAGTGTTGGTAGTCTTGGAGCTGGTCCTGATGCAGGTAGCAGGAGACCATACCAAACACCAACTTCTCCCGGTGGTCAACATGCTCTTTCAGCTCCTTGGCATCAGCCAACTGCCCCGTCAGCTGTTGCTTCTTCTCAATCAGTACCAACTGGGGAAGCAGAGAACTGATTAAGGACCATCTAATTACCAGTCATTTGCCTAACCCAGTGTTCCACATGAAGGACACTACTGGAAAGAAACCATTCATTCTGCTAATTGGACCCTAGATTTCCTCTCTTAGATCCCTTGCATTCAAAAGTCTTTTTTTAGCAGGAGGAAAAACAACACTACAATTTTATTTACCCAACTACAAGGCTGCCTTTGAGTGGTTAATAGTCTCTTACTCATTTCTTGAGAGCAGTGGCTATCAAAATCTTTACTCTGTGGACCACTGCGGGGGTTGAGTAGAGAAAGGCTGTGTCCCCCTAATTTACCACAATCAACGCCTCCTCCTCTGACAAAGCCAGCCACCCACCATGGTAACTACCATTACTACAAAAGCAATGCTTTCTAAATGATCTATGTCTCTGTGTGAGTATGTGCGAATATATCCATATGTGTATGCACATGCACAGACACCTCTTATTAAAATTTGATTCAGATTTGTACTCAACCCATTTGTGGTACAAATGGTAATGCCGTTTTGCTTCAGAAAAGCATACACAGAATGACCCCACCAATGACACAAATACCTCCCAATGTCAATTGCCTGGCAAACTTGCCCTTCCAACACTAAAAGTGGGGCAAATTTGGGGTCACTACTATTGCTGGAAGCCAGCACCTGCTCGGTGTTTACCTTATTGTTGTATGTCCTGTTCTAAGTAATTAACGTGGATTATATAATTTAATTCTCACCCAAACCCCTGAGATCAATGTTAAATAAATTGCCTCCAGTTACATAGATAAGCAGGAGTCAGAATTTCAAGATAGTTGAAAACCAGTGCCCACTATCTTTTGTTCCCTTTGATAACAGCCAAATGTGAAAGCCCCCCTAAGATAAAAAGATGGTATTTCCCTCCATACATATCTCAGAGACCCTGACTTTACCTTCTCCTGACTGGTCTCTGAATCGATGCTGTTGAGAGCATTCTCCACCCGGGCCAGTCGTCCAGAGAGTGACAACAGCAGGTTGACAACTTTGTCCAGGTCTCCGATAAACAAACGGTATTTTTCAAATTCATTGGGTTTGCAGACAGTTTTCAGGTTGGCTTCCACCTCCTCCCCAAGGGAGGAATTGGCGTTGATGTCCTCCACCAGCCCTTGCTGGGCCTCCCGCAGGACAGAGAGCTTTCTGCCAATACTTTCAATAAGCTGTATCTAGAAGAGTTGAACAAGAGAAGGTAAATACGGATATAAATGGGGTTTAAAAATACACTGATTTGTGCCCCAAATCCTACTCACTGGAAGCAAAGGAAATGTGAGTGAGTCATGAGCAATTCCAGTTCTCTGGACAGACGCCTTCTCTCCCAGATGCCAAAGCACTGCATCTCTTTCACTCTAGTAAGAATCTCTAGCTCACCAACAAGCTCCTTAGCATTAGATAACTGATATTATGGACTAAATTTCATTTTCCAAATGCAATCTAATATATCTTTTCTGAGACTGATTATTAAATAGGAATTGAAATGTTTGTAAGAACCTAGATTGGAGAAGTATTGTCATCAAGTGTTTGCCTAGCACTGTGTTCATGCTCCTTCAATCCATGTAAGTATCTCTATAGTACTGTGCTAGGAGCCCCATGTCGTAACAGGTTCCACATTGGGCTGCTAATGGCAAGGTCAGAGGTTCCAAACCACCAGCCACTCTATGGGATAAAGATGAGATTTTCTATTCTCGTAAAGATTCACAGTCTCAGAAACCCACAGGGGCAGTTCTACTTTGCCCTACTGGTTGCTATAAAGTCAGCACTCCCATATCTCCGCCCCACCGCCTCTCCCCCCCCTCCCACTGGTTCTGAATAAGAGTGTGGGTTCTGAAATCACAATGACTTAGTCTGACTTTCAAATCTGTCAGTGTATACAAATTTGTATGATGTCACTTGCATCATAAAAATCTGCATCTGTACAATGCAGGGGCAGTGAATTATTTAATGTGGCTCTTCTACATAAAGTAACTAAATTTCACCAAAGGACCTTTGCCTGTATAGGTTTAGTAAGAAGTTGAGGGAAGATACTGATAGGATTTGCCTGTGAGTAATTGTGAATAGTATTCCATGGAGTGGCATCCACATGTGTATACAATGAGAAGAAACAAGAGGGAACTCATTCATTACCAGCAAGAACCAGGAGTAGAGTGTTTCCTCTGGACCTGAGATTCCTGTGCAGTGGATCTCCTGGATACAGCTAACAGCTATACCATCAGAAGAGCAACAGCAGACCAGGAGCCAGAGCATGGAACAGAGTGATGGACTTCCCAACACATGGAGCACATTGAGTGCTTTTGTGAAGGAAGCAGGCTTGCAGAGTGGGGTGCCTCTGGACTCTTAATTCAGGGAGCTGGGTTTGCTGACCCCTGGAGCTTGAGTGGTATTTCCCTTAGGGCATTTATTAGCAGACCTGAAACTTTGTAACATTTCCTAGTAAAGAACTATACTGAGCTTTTCTCATTGGTATTATGACGCATTAAATTCTTTAATAAACCCTGTAATCATGAAATTTGGTCTGTGAGTTTCTGTGTAGCCATTAGACCCCAGAGATAAATTATAGAACGTTAATTAAATCAGCATATGTGGGTTGGGTGATTTTGCTTTCTTTAGCTTCACTTTGTAGAATAGGGATAATTGCAGTCCCCACTGCATTATGCTGTAATAAGGATTCAATAAGATAATGCATGCAAGAAGTTTGGCAGAGAGTAAATACTCAAGAAAAGTTGGCTTCCATTATTATTCAGTCTGTCCTCACCATACCATTTTAATCTCACTCCTCAGAACCTGTCAAAAATTAACTTCTTACTCTCCTCTGTGTTCACAACACTCATTTTTGTGCTCCCAATTTGCTTATGCAGTGATTTACTTCATTCTTTGTTTTAACATCCTTTTACCTCATTCTTTACTTCAGCTATTCCTACTATATTTTCAGAGGCCAATTTTATTCCCACCCTCACAGGCGCCCCAGTGGTGTAATGGTTATGTATTGAGCTCCTAACTGCAAGGTCAGCACCCCCCTCTGTAAGCCGGCTTCCTTCACAAAAGCACACAGTGTGATCCATGTGTTGGGAAATCCAACGACCAGTCGCTCTGTGGGATAAAGATGAGGCTTTTTATTCTCATAACCAGTTACTGTCTCAGAGACTCACAAAGATAATTCTACCCTGTCTGATAGGATCACTACGAGTTGGAATCAGCTCAATGGTAGTGGGTTTTTGAGTTTTCCCATAGGAAGCTCTGCTCAAATATCTCTTTTCCCCCCTGTAATTCCAAGTCTTTTAGAATCCGAATCCTCTAGTAAAATTTGAAGTTGCACACATCCCGTGTCATGTATGTGAGTCTGGTCTCCTACTATTGACTGTATGTTTCAGAGAAGTACTGCCTCTATATTCTTATTTGCCTCTCCTGTAAGCATAATTACTTCTGGGACTTCAATCACAGAAAGGCAGTGAGGTAGATTGGATTTTCAGAGGTAGCTATATCTGGATTCTAATTCTATCTACTTCAAACTGCATAACCTTGAGCAAGGCACCATCTCACCGAAACATCTTTTTTCATCTATAAAGTAAATAAACAGGACTCCCTTGCAATACTCTTATGAACAGAAAAGGTAAATTAAATCATAGAAGTAAAATATTGAATATTATGCCTGGCACATTGTTAAGTGCTCAGTGAACATTTACTGATACTACAATAATAACAAAAATAAGTAGTTTCCTTATCATTGCCATTATCACCAGGCATTCTGAGTTAATGGGTAATTGTTTAGCTGCAAGATACTGACAAGAACGGACCATGTGTTTATAGTCTTTGCAGCCAGTATTGCATATGGCTAAAAATATCAACTCTAGCACCAAACTACTTGGGTTTGAACTCCAGTTCAGCCATGGAATAGTGTTGTGCTATTGATCAATTTACTCAATTTTTCTGTCTGTGCCTCAATTTCTCCATTTAAAAAGTTTTAGAGTAGAGTATGTGCCTCAGAGTTGTTACGAGAATTAACTGAGTTAATACATATTACATGCTCAGAATGGTGTCATGCATAAGCATGTTTCAGTGTTTTATTATTCCAGCACAGACAGTCTGGGAACAGAGACGTGTAGTTTGCTAAACTGTATTCATCTCTAGTAGTTCATTTAAAGATATCTAAGGTGACCAAGACCAAATCAGGAGGTCACCGTGGTCTTAGTCTTTAGTGTAATATATTTGCTTCTTGGAAAATTTTCAAAACATACTGAGGGTTGGAAATCAGTGATAGAATGAAACAATTAGATGCCAAGAAGCTCCCAGTTCTACGTGTACCCTCTGGTCGGGGCCAAATGTCCAACTCAGAAAACCACTCACTCACCTTACCCCCACCAAGGTCTGGAAGGATTAAAGCACAGACAGTCATTTCTTTCTCTGCATCTGTGCTGTGCAAACTGAACTTTGACGCTGGGGACAGTATAAAGAAGAGGACTATGGAGTCATCACAGGTGCAGACAGCTGAATTGCTTTTCTGGGATATTACAAATCAGTAACCCTCCTCACCTTTCTTTCTCAGAAATAAAAACTGTCTATCCACAGTCACTTCAAATCACTATTTGCTGCTCTGTGCTTTGACATTTCTATAATTTCTCTCTTCATTTGGTCAGGTTTTCTCTTGCTGAGGCCAAGGCCTGTAAACTAGGAGCAGCCTTGCCATGCAGCGAGAACATGGGTTCCATGGAAGTAGTCATTTGGATTAACAAAACTTCCACATCACCATGTTTCTAATTCTTTCCCTAACATTCTGCTTCAAATGGAAATGTAGGGGGAGTGATCTTGCAAATGGCCCTGATCTTGTCTACAAGTCATGTCCTAAAAGAGAAATGTGGAAGGAGTTGCAATTTATATTGAGTTCAGATGTCCACAAAATGATAAATTGGGCTTTTTAGGTTGTCATGGGAACCCTACTTGCTTATAAAATCAAATGGGTAAGTGCAGGGAGGGCAAAGTGATTCCAGGAATTTGAATAGAAAGCTAGGGTAGCTATACTTAGTGGGAGAAAACAGAAGGTTTGCAACACAACATCATCTCCATTGATCTATTTTAGTATTTTAAGAGTTTTTCAACCATCCTGGTAAATAGTTTGCCATCCTATAATTTCTCCATTTTTTCCTTATTTTTCTCTCTCTCCTAGAAAGTTGCACAGATAATAAAATCAATGACATTACTGTTGGTTCGGGCTCACTGGCAAAAACTGTGATGTGACCTGGGCAGGGAGTTACTTACAAGGCTGACTTATTTCAGAGAGACAGCACCCCAGAGTAGAAAGTCGGACTGTGTTGAGTTCAAATTCTAGATCTACTACTTGCTCTGCAACCCTGAAATATTAGCCCCCTTAGTCGATAAAAATTGGGATAGTAATATCTCCCTTGTAGAGCTGCTCTAACAGTTAGAGAAACATGATGCTGGTGATGGTTATAATTTTGACTACTAGTACTAGTAGTAGTAGTGTGAGAAAATGCATAGAGTCTAGAAAGCAAGTCATATCTGTATGTGAATTAAAGCGATTAGACCTAACCATTACTCCAACTCAAACCAAACTATTGCCATCAACTTGATTGTGACTCATTGTTAGCCTTTAAGACAGGGCACCCTTTGGGTTTTGAGACTATAACTCTGTGGTTAGCAGTCCACCAGGGCTCCAATACTAGCCCCTAATGCTTATAATAAAGATGATAGATATTGCTGTGAGAAATATAAAAATCCATTTTTATTTCCATTTTTTAAATGGATGAATGCAGCAAGATGATCTGGGGAATTTAGAGGGCTGGTGATCCTCCAGACAAGATAAAAAATCTCGAGTATATCCATTTTTTTTACCTTTTTTTGAACCAGTTCTTTATCCACTTCCTCTTCTCCCAAGCCAATATCTGCCATCTCTGGCTGGTCTTTCAATTTGTTCAGAAGCTCTGCCTTGGCCGCAGAAATATTGTAATAAGCTGAGTAAGAGGTAGGGATCCCAGGGTTCCCCTGAGGAGGGGAGAAATGCTGAAATTCTTGTCTATAGAAACAAAGAAGGACCATTTGAGAACCTTTGATGAGAGTTTGCTGATCTTTCTTACTCTTAATTTCTCATCTACAAAATGGGACCATGCTTCATCAGGAAGCTATGAAGTAAGGAAACAGTGGACCTGTAAGCACTGTTCAAATGTAAACAAACCACATGAAGGCTATCTAGACGTCAAGGAAAGGCAAACGTTAGTTTTCTCTACCTCCGTAAGTCTTCACTAGGAGACTGCTTTAAAGATACTCTGGTTTGGTCCTTAACATTCTACAAAACTGTAGAAAAACTAGCAGGCCCTTACTAAAGTTCTGGACTCCTGAAATCAATGATTACCCCTGGTTCATGACCCCGGTATATGGATCCCAAGGGAAGGACGAGGTTGTGTAGGAGGGTCTGAAACCTTAGCTCTTTGTCCTCTAAGCCTCTTGGCATTCTTCACACTCATCATTCACCCCTACCGCAGGATCTAGTCTGCTTGCTTACAAAGGCACTCCGTGGCTTTCCTGGGAGATCTCATCATTTCTTCTTTCCCGGTGCCACGCCTGCTTGAAATGGCGCAACTGCAGATCTCTCACAGCAAAAAAGCCACCCATGACCTCGGCAGTAGTCATCAAGTTGGAGGCTGGGTTTATCCCTCCCGCCAGAGACTTGCCATGCCCCACCACATCTGTCATGAAATCTTCTGAGGCTGCCTGCCGTGAGGCAGATCTTTGACTTGCGAACGAATAGCCTCTCTTCTCTTCTGTTATATCCCCAATGGACCCAGCTTCCTCCATGGTTGCAGGATGTAACAGGGACAAAGTGGAAACAGTGGCATCTCTAGGCTTGACACGTGTATCAGCAGATTCTGTCATCTTGGGCTCACCAAAGCCCAAGCGACTGAGGTGCTGTTTATCAGAGCCCCAGCCCACAAAAGAGAACTGTTGCTCAGGGAAGAAGTAGCTCTGATTCCGTGCTGGCTTGGGTTTGGACTCTTCTGCCATTACAGCCTCTGGTCTGAAGTGAGGGAAGAAATAAAAAGAAATGCTTCACTGTTAGGTTTCAGAGAGAGAGAGGGCTAAATAATTCCACCCACAGTTTATTCAAGGGGAAAACTCACCCCAATGTGGTCCTTTTTGTCTACCAGCCATCCCCACCATCCACCTATCTGTCTCGTTGGTTGACTCTTTGCTAACCTCTAGTTCAGTGTTTCCCAAAGTGGGTGATACCACTCTCTAGGGGTCACTGGAATGACCTAGTGGGGGCTATAAATACCTATACCTTATCTGGATTATGGGCTGTAGTATAAACATCTTTAATTGTCAGGGGCCACTCTTTTTTTTCTGAATAGGATATGGTAGACCAAATAAGTTTGGGAACCTATGCAGATCTTTGAAAGAGGAAAATGGAAATGTTCAATAGTCATTTTTGCAGCTATTTGCAGCTCTTAGATAAAGGCAAAAAATAATGGTTAAAAGACTCCACAGCTATTTACTGATTCATGCTATGCTGTCTCAAAATTCACAGAAAAGAAATTTGGCTGTTCTAATATTCCTCATTTTCCATGTAATTTTTCAAGCTTAGAAACACTGATAAAGGAACACTATTAGCTAACATTTGTACAGTGCTTACTAGGCTCCCGAAGCTCCTTCAAGATGATAGATGGATAGATAGATAGATAGATAGATAGATAGATAGATAGATAGATAGATAGATGGATGGATAGAGATTGATGTAACCTAATGCTTATGCCAACCATTTTACAGATAAGGACTATGAGGCACACAGAGGTAAAGGAACACCAGCCAATAAGTGACAGAATTGTGATTTGGACTTAGGCAAACAGACTCAATCTGTGCTTTCAGCCATTATGCTGTACTGCCAGGGGGACAACTTGAGATCATATGAGACACCACATTTAAGGAATTCTGAGGGTGGAGAATTAAATTCAATTAAAATGGAACTAAAAGATTACGAAATATTTTCCACAAACTTTTAAAAGTCCTCCCAGGTTGAAAAAGAAGGGAGAATATTATGGAGGGAAGGTGAAGGTATGAACTTATAGACTTTCTATCGATATAAAAATACTTACACAGACTTATCAACAACCTGCCATATGCAGACAGCACAACTTTGTTTCCTGAAAATGAGGAGGACTTGAGGCACTTGCTGATGAAGATCAAGGTTTTCAGCCTTCAGTATGGATTACAACTCAATATAAAGAAAACCCACATCTTGACAACTGGACCAATAGGTAACATCATGATAAATGGAGAAAAGATTGAAGTTATCAAGGATTTTGTCATGCTTGGATCTACAATCAATGCGCATGGAAGCAGTAGTCAGAGGATCAAATGACACATCGCATTGGCTAAATCTGCTGTACAAGACCACTTTAAAGTGTTGTAAAGCAGGGATGTTACTTTGAAGACTAAGGTGTGCCTAACCAAAACCATGGTATTTTCAATGACTTCATATGCCTGTGAAAGTTGGACAATGAATAAGGAAGACCAAAGAAAAATGATGCATTTTAACTATGGTGCTGGCTAAGAATCTTGAAAATTCCGTGGACTGCCAAAAGAACAATCATACCTGTCTTGGTAGAAGTACATACAAAATGCTCCTTACATGCAAAAATGGTGAGATTTCGTCTCATGTACTTTTGGCATGTTATCAGGAGAGACCGATCCCTAGAAATGGACATCATGTTTGCTAAAGTAGATGAGCAGCAAAAAATAAGGGGTGGGGCAGGCCTTTGACAACATGGATTGCCACAGTTGCTGCAACTATGGGCTCAAATGTGACAAGGCTTGTGAGGGTGGCACAGGATTGGGCCACGTTTTGTTCGGTGTATATAGGGTTGAATGGGTTGGAACTGATTCAAGGGCACCCAACAACAATAAAGGGTGCGCATGAGAGTTCTGAGTCAGAAACTGTTGTAAAAAAAAAATGTGCCAATTGCAGATTCAGTTCCCCAGAAGACATAGTCCCATTCATTATAGGGCTTCCTTCCTCTTCACATTCATAGACCAACAGTTATAGAAGATCGCTGAGTACACAGTCCAATTTTGATAATGGGTATCAAAGCAACAATAAGATTCAAACTATGGAACACCAAGATGAAATACAAAGAACCCATAGAGCAAGTTGTTACTGTATCTGCATTATAGTTATTAAACTTAACCAATACTTGATAACTCCATCAACTTGTATCTAAATGTATCACAGCATTTTAAAACTGAATACTACTTGAGTTACAGGTATACTGCAGTTTAACTTAGCAGAAATTAAGATGCTATTTTTTGTTTCTCTTTAAAATATTACAGGTATACTTACCCTTAACACAAAAAATCCCCAAACCACTACCTTCTGGTTATCACCTTATGCTTTCTTAGGGTCTGGGAAAGAATCTGGGATAAGGTAGTGGGCATAATGAGCAGGCTACCTGAACTCTGATCCTGGCTCTGGTTAATTTTGCCCTTTCAAACGTTACTTTATTCCTCTGTGCCTTACTTTCCTTATCTAAAAAAAGTAAGAGATGCAAAGTACTCATTTCATAGGTTTGTTGTGAAGATTAATCAATAAGTTTGTGAGCTTGTTTAGAACAATGCTTGGTACATCAAAAGCAGACAAAAATGTTAGCTGTGTTGGGAATTATGTTGTTCCTTAAATCTTCATCATAGAAGTACAAGGGGAATTCAAAAGTTTATGGAAAATTTGAATGAAAAGATAATGGAATTTTTCCATGATCTTTTGAAGCTCCCTCATATCTAATTGATATCTGAAGTCACAGCAAGGGCTATGTGCTAATAAATGTTTCCACTCTCATCCCATATTAAAAAAAAAAATCTCTGGAACAAGATATAAGATTGCTGCCAGTAGCAATTTCCTTTTCTCTGGCCAAGGTGTCAATGTGTATGGACTTAAAATGAAGGAGGAAGGACCAGGAGGTTGAAAGTGGCAAGGCTAAATCTGCAGCTTTTGATATGCATGGTCATACAGGGTACACAAGAGCTGCACAAACGCCTGCACTACTGGAACAAGCCTCGGACAGTCTGCGGAAGATGGCAAAATGAATGTGGGTTTTAGAGCCAGAAGCTCTGGCTTTGAATATTTGCTGTGTAACTCTGAGCTAGTTAGTCCCTTATTTTGCTAGGCTTCAGTTTCCTTATAGCTCAGATGAGGACAATAATGCTCCAGAAGGCATTGGGAACAGTAAATAAAATAATAGAAGTGAAGTGACTGGCACCATATCTGGTACATAGTAAGTACTTAACAAATATTCATTCATTTGCTTACTCATTCTCATCTTAGCTGACTCCAAAATGTTGGCTTGCACACTGCATCTTCGATGGTTCAAGCCCACCATGGGAGAAAGTTAAAGCTATCGGATCCTGTAAAGATTTACAGCCTTAGAAACCCTATATAAGGCCACTCTTAGTTTGAATCAACTCCCTGGTAGTGGGTCAGCTTCCCTTTTCCTTGCTGTGATGGATTACAATCCCAATTACTTTTCACAAAACATTTTTATTGATAAGAATGCTCTCCAATTCGATGATTAATTTGAGAAGCACCACATAGGATCTGATAAGAGCTTTTCACAGTGCTAGGAGTCACGCTGTCTAAGTGCTGTGCCTGTGGCAACTCTGTCTAGAAAATGTTTCAATTGCCTGTAGACAGCTAAGTAACAGATTTGCCTGAGTTGAGCTGTTGTCAATAAAAAACATAACAACAAGGTACTTCTATTAAGAGGAAATTGACATCAAGAAGTCCAGGAAGGAAAATTATGTCTGGAAACTGGTTATGGAAGAAACTGTAAAATTATGTTTCACATGATTGAACTATGGAATGATATGACATTGTCTTAATTTTCAAGTTGCAGCAAATTAAAGATATATATATATATAGTTCCAGGAATAAGTTATGGGCTCTCACTAAATACTAGCTCCAGCTTAAGAACAGTTAGTCCTTACATCATGGCCCTGCTCAATACTCAAGTTCATGAAATGATCACTGAAGATACGGGTGCTACAGCAAAGCCTGGTGAAGAAAGCAGACAGTGCCTGGCTATCAATCAGAATAGCGTCTGGGGTCTTAAAGACTTGTATTCAAACAAGCAGCCATCTAAGCGAAGAGCCAACTAAGTCCACACAGGAGAAGCACACCAGTTTGTGTGATCCAAAGATGACAATCACAAAGTTCAAATATAGTGAGGAGAAAAGTATCAGAGCTAAAATTATGAACACCCAATTTGGAGAAGGCTGTGGAGGACAGTGGGAGCCCCAAACCCATCTGCAGGGGATCTAGTCTGACCAAGCTGCTGGCAGATCCACTGTAGCCAAAGGCATGAGTCCAGAATAGCCTTGCTATCAGGCAGAGACCATTGTAATCCTGATTAGGTGGGATCGAACTCAGTACCAGGCCAGTTGTCTTCCCTATAGACATGGCCTGAATTAGTACTGGGTGTAAGTATCTCTTAGATGTCCCATGACAGAAATCTCTTCCCTGGATTTTTGAACATTGATGGGGGAACAATAAAACTGATAGTGATTGTACAGCTCAGTTTGAAGGCCATGTGACCATGGCCGGGGGGGTGGCATGGCGGGAAGGCTCTAAGATAAATGTGTTGGTGTTTGTACAACTCCCCTTGATGAGATTGAACGATTGAATTGTTCAATTGTATTTTATGTGAATTACGTGCCAACAAAACATTTGGGGAAAAAACCAATTGGAGACAAGTTTCTTCTGCTGAGTTTCCATACCTCCATCAGCAGAGAGTGGATTTATCTCTAAGCAGGAGGTGTCATAGAGCTGGAAGACAATTAAAAAGACGCCCCTGGGGCTTTTGCTTTGGAGCAAAATGACAAGCACCCACTATGGAGTACACAGATGAGCACTGGCATAGTGAAGTGAATAGAATTGGTAATCTTGTGGTTAAGTCACACCCCTGCAGACAAACCATATTCCTGCTTATTTGTCCCTGCACAGGCAGCTCGCCCTACCAATTTTTAAAAAATTATCTGCTGAAATAAACACACAGAAGCAGAGAACAGGGTGAATGTTATGGAAATAGTGGCAGAGAAAAAGAATGCCCACATCTTTTTGAGGAATTATCAGGGCAAAAAAAGAGGACGCTCCTCAACAAGGTGTAGTGACACAGTGGCTGTAACAATAGGTTCAAACATAAGGACAATTGTAAAGGATGGCGCAGGACTAGGCAGTGCTTTGTTCTGTTGTAGCCAAGGTTGCTATGAGTTGGAGAAAATTCAGTAGCACCTAACAACAACAATAATATGTATGCTAAGCATAGGGTTATATCCTTTGCATGCCATTGCCAGGGAGTGAATTCCTACTCATACTGACCATGTAGGACCAAGTAGAATGGCCCCTGATGGTTTCCAAGGCTGGAATTTTATGGAAGCTGACTACCTTATCTTTCTCCCATGGAGTTCCAACTTCAGACCTCCTAGTTAGCAGTCAAGCACTTAATCTTTGTGTCTCCAAGGCCCTTTCTGTTCTTTACATATTTTATCTTAATCTTCACAACAATACCATCACATGTGTGACAGGTATTCAGAGAAAAATCTGAAGCTAAGAGTAGTTCAACTGAGTAGCACAGTTACAAAGCTAGTAAATGGTAGAGATGCAATTCATACTCATGCTGCCTGCATGATACGACTTCAACACCCCCTTTACATCTTCAGGGGCCCAATGTCTTTCAAAAGCACTTACTTGGCAGAGTTAGTGGCTTTACTGTCAAGGACCAGTTGTTCTGATGCTCTCCAAAGACCACTGATGCCATAATAGCAAGGGGGGTGAATGTGCTCAGGTTGAGATCCTAAGTGCGCAGTTATTGGAAATAGGCTAGGCTGGAAATTGCTGGAATGGGAACCAAAGGACTTTTGTTTTGCTGGGAGGCTTTGTGAATCCTGCTTTAAAATCTCCAGGTTACCAAAGCCCAGGGGCTTTGACTGTTCCAGGACAACTTCGGTGTTTAGAACAGATGAACCAGTAGTTTCTGAACTGAAATACTGGGGTGGTAGGTCCTCCTCCTCCTCTTCTTCCTCCTCCTCCTCCTCCTCTTCTTGCTCCTCCTCCTCCTCTTCTTGCTGTGGCTGAGGTTGCGGTTGTGGCTGCTGTGGCTGGAGCTGAGCAGCTCGGAGGAGCCTGTACTTCTCCCAATTGGGAGGGGGTGGGCGAGGAGGAGGATAGGCCTTTTTCCTGGCTCCAAAAGGATCCGGTTGGGTTTCATCAACTTTGGCAAATAGCTCCCTCTGATTCTGATTCCTTGACCGGGAACTCTGTTGCTCCAAGCTGATATGACTCTCTGAGAAAGCCCGGCTGCGCAGTGAATAGGGTATGGAAGCAATGAAGCTCCCCTCCTCATGAATTGAAGTTTCCTCTGTTTTTTTTGAGGAATGATTGAAGTCCTCTAGAAGGTCAAGGGAAGAGATTGCTTGGTAGTTTGACAAGGCCAGCGCTGGGTTCTCAAGGCAAGGATGAAAGGGAGGTGCCCATGAAAAGTTACCTTTGGAATGAGCAATTTCCCTGCAAACGAAACAAAACAAAACAGATGAGAATTGAGTAAAAACAGATAATCCCATATTCTCATGACAGCCTTTATGTAACATGTCAAGTTGCCACAAAACAATAAAATATATGTAGTAAATATAATAATAATAATAATAAATAATAATATGATCATGGCTAACAGTTATTGAAAGAGCCCTGGTGCCATAGTTGTTTAGCACTTGGCTGCTAACTGAAAAGGTTGGCAGTTCAGACCTAGCATCTGCACTGCGGGAGAAAGATGTGACACTCTGATTCAGCGAAGATTTACAGCCTTGGAAACACCCTGCGGCAGTCTGATTCTGTCCTACAGGTTTACTGCAGTTTGATTCTGTCCTACAGGTTTACTGTGAGTTCAAATGGACTTGGTGGCAATGGGTTTGGGTTTGTTAACACTACTGAGCAGATATTCAATGGCAAGAATTGTTTTAAGTGTTTTACATGTGTTAACATATTTAATTCTCATAATTGCCCTGTGAGATAACCCTATTAATATTATCTAGATCAGTGATTCTCAACCTTCCTAATGCCGTGACCCTTTAATACAGTTCCTCATGTTGTGGTACGACCCCCAACCATAAAATTATTTTCGTTGCTACTTCATAACTGTAATTTTGTTACTGTTGTGAATTGGGTGACCCCAAAGGGGTCGTGACCCACAAGTTGAGAACCGCGATCTAGATTATCTGGGGAAACTGAGGCTCTGACAGGTAATTTACCTAAGGTAGCAAAGTTTGTAAGTGGTGGAACTAGGATTTGAACTTGAAGAGTCTAGCTTAAAAGTTTGGATACATATACATGACCTTGTCTATTTGTGGCACTCAAAGGGATAAGTTGTGTTCTGGGGCTTACCAGTTGAGTTATCTTGCCTCATCTGTTGTCTTTAAATTATACATTACTTTAAATACCTAGAAATCTACAGAGATTACTATAGCAAATACCTATGTCCCTATTTATAGCCCCAAATGAACACATCTTAACAACTTATCTATATTTCATATCTTTTAAGAAATAAGAAGTAATATCTTTTACACCATTATCCACTTCCATTCCTCTACTGCCTCTCCAAATCAATTTGCATCACTAATTTGGTATTTTCTTATGTTCTTATACTTGTAACAAAAAACATTAAGCAAACCATTTAACAGCATCTGCTATCTTGAATTTTAAATATCTCCTAATACAATTCCAACTAATATTCTCAACAGGAACTTTAAACTACAGATGTTTTTGAAAATTAACTTTCAAAAAGGCAGCATATATTAAATAATCTATTCTACTACAGGAAAGATATGTGTTTGGGTGGGGTATCAGGGAGGGATTAAGCATGTTGTTAAGCATGTTTGGTGTCATCGAGTCAGTTCGTAATCAGAGCAACGGAATGAAACACTGCCAATACCGCACCATCCTCACAATTGTTGCTGTGTTTGAGCCCATTGTTGCAGCCACTGTGTCAATCCACCTTGTTGAGGGTCTTTCTCCTTTTTGCTGCCCCTCTACTTTACCAAACACTATGTCCTCTTCCAGGGACGGATCTCTTCCTGACAACATGCCCAAAGTATGTGAGATGAACTTTTGCGATCCTTGCCTCTAAGGAGCATTTTGGATGAATTTCTTCTAAGACAGATGCGCTTGTTCTTTTGACAGTCCTTGGTATTTTCAATATTTTTTGATGGTGCCATAGTTAAAATGTATCAATTTTTCTTTGGTCTTCCTTATTCATTGTCCAACTTTCATAGGCATATGATGTGACCGAAAATACGATGGCTTGGGTCAGGCACACCTTAGTCTTCAAAGTAATAACCTTGCTTTTCAACACTTTAAAGAGGTCTTGTGCAAAAGTTTTAGCCAATGCAATGTGTTCTTTGATCTCCCATGAGCATTGCTTATGGATCCAAGCAAGATGAAATCCTTGACAACTTGAAGCTTTTCTCTGTTTATCATGATGTTACCTACTGGTCAAGTTGTGAGGATATTGATTATTATTAAAACAATGTGGAACAGAATGGAAAGTTCAGAAGCATATTAAACTATAAAATACCATATCTTGGTGACTTTAAATAAATGTTGGAAAATGCAGTAACTTTCAATTCCATTGCCTTACAAAATGAGGGATAAAAATCATATTTAATACCCTTTTTGAAATACTGTCAAGCAATGTTATTTGGAATTACACAATACACGAGGGTAAACAAAAAAAGCATTCCTATAAAATTATAGAAACTTTCATTATGCAAAAATATCAAAATGTAAAGCTATTGTTTCTCAACATACTCCAGGTAGGTCTATATACTCCTGAAGGTGATGTTTCCATTTCTCAAATCCTTCCCTGAAGAATTCTATGCTCTTTGATTAATATCATGATAAAATAGAAGTTTTGGCATACTTAAGAGACTTGAGTTATGTTTCTTTCAAATGCTCTTTGAATTTGGAGAATAAAAATAAATCTGTAGGGGGCAAGATCAGGGTTATGGAGTGTATAGGATAAGGTTTCTAAATGAACTTCTTAGAAGACAGCCCTGGCTATCCTGTAAGAATGAGCAGGTCCATGGTCATCATGGGAAAAATTCTTGAGCACATCTTTTCTAAACTCTATCTCACCAATTCAGATTTAATTTTTCTTGAAATTCTTCATAATGAGCTCCTGCGATTGTTCTGTACCCTTCAGGAAACTCTATCATGACAAACCCTTGGCATTTCAAAAAATTTCAGCTCTAGATTAACTGGTCCAGGAGATCCCCTTCGAATCTACAGCGGTTCTCAACCTGTGGGTCGCGACCCCTTTGGGGGTTGAATGACCCTTTCATAGGGGTCGCCTAAGAACATTGGAAAACACTTAGTTTTGATGGTCTTAGGAACCCAGACACCACTCCTCTATCCGTCTTCAGGCGGGTTCGCCCACATGTAGCTACACCCACATAGGAGAACCCGGTGTGAAGACTGTTACCCAGGCTACACCATGCTTCAAGACAAAATTTCATTTAGTTGTCATTAGAAATAAATATTTCACAATATAGAATTACATATTGTTTTGTGATTAATCACTAAGCTTTAATTATGTTCAATTTGTAACAATGAAAATACATCTTCCATGTCAGATATTTACATTGTGATTCATAACAGTAGCAAAATTACCTTGTCCTCTGGATCACATTGGTAAATCTAAGACTTGTTCCCATTTATGATTTGTTCCATAAAATTATCTTCATTTGCTTCAATTTTGTTTAAAAGATGAATGTAATGATCAGCTCTGAGGGCTAGCTGATCTCCGAACAATACTTTTGGCCGTCATAAAGCAGAAAACTTGCTGTAACTCAGATGTACACTTAAAATTAAATCTGATGATCAATGTGAGACCCCACCATGAGTAGCTATTGCATCAATGGTATTTCTATAATTTTCCACCAGTTTCTGGACTTCAGCTACAGTTTCTTCATTTTTTGCAGTCTTCCCTCTCAGCTAAACTTTGAAGCCTTCCTAATTGATATAAAATAATTGATCCAACTAAAAACTGTTGTTTCAAAACTATTGAATTGTATGATATGTGAATTTTATGTTTATAAAACTTAAAAAATGAAAGTACACCTGAGAATCAAATATTACTGAAGTTTATAAAGGGTATATACATTTGAAAATAGAAATAAATAAATAAGAACTGCTGTTTTATGTGGGCAGCATTTCCATAAACTTGTTGCAAGGCTTCAATGAGTTGGGAAGATAAAGTTTGGTTTAAGGTTATTATTGGCCTTCAAATTACCATTGTTTTCCCATGGCACAGAAAATATACTTTTTCTTTTCTGACAGCACCTTAATGAGATCAAGAGAAGTATGGTGCTGGAAGAACATGTCTATCCCATTGATCACAGAGACATATTTCAACACCTTTGTTTGGAATAGAGCCATGTATGTATGAACCAGACTCCTAGTAGCAATACTTTTTGACTCACCCTCATATTATATATTAAAATAAGCTCTAAATTCAAGAGTGTAGTGTATGTATATATAATTTAAACAGATTATACAGTTATATATATTTGTTAAAATATATAAAATTTAAAAGACTAGCATAGTCTAGGTGAAATAAGACTCTCACAGCAACAGAAGAAAAATCTTCAAGAAAAAAAATTAGATTTATTTGAATATGCATCAAAAGTCAAGCTTCTATATAATATTTATTCAGTCTCGGTGTATAAAGAGTTAAGCCCACTAAGTCAGGATATCTAGTTTCCTGTTCTATCTTTCAAACAATAGGTTTCATGCTAAGTACTTTCCAGTGACAGGAAATTCCAGGGATTCAATTAAATCATCAGACAGAATATTCATGATGAGGGCTAAGAATATTTCATAAAAAGTAATAGCACATAGAATGATGGTCAAGCTCAGGTAAAACAGAAAACAAAATGTCCATCACTGCCCTCGTCTCCACCTCCCACCCTGGCTACTTCATTAAGAAAATTATCAGGAATTCACACGCACAGCCTTTTCCTCTTCTCACTTGGGTTTCAGCGCAATTATGGCTCCATTGGGCTGCTAAAGGAAAGGTTATCAGTCTCAAACCACCATCTGCTCCATGGAAAAAAGCTGAGGCTTTCTATTCCTGAAGAGAGTTACAGTCGCAGAACCCCAGGGCCACTTCTATAGGGTTACTATGAGTCAGAATTGACTCGCTGGTAGTGAGTTATAACTCCTTAAAATTTTAACACACTCTTCTACCGGGTGTTTACCCTAAATAAAGCAAAAACAGAAAGATTATGAGTAGAAAGTGAAGTATGATAAGCACATACAGCCAGGCCTTTCCTGAACACCTTACATAAAACAATGACTACTTATCTGTAATTATCCTTATTCTGTCCAACCTGATATTATATTACATACCTATCCCTGTTTATTTTGTGGTCCATTCTCTAAAACATAAGCTCCATGAGGGCAGGGTGCATGTCTGTCCCAGTTATCTAGCACCTAGTGCCTGGCACATAGTA